CTCCCCACCATTTTTAAGTGATTAGAGATGAGCATGGGCTGGGTATCTGCCCAGAAGAATTAAAAGCAGACACTCGAACAGGTATTTGTACACCCATGTTCAGAGCAGCATTATTTGCGATAGCCTAAGGGCAGAAACTCCCCCAGTGCCCATCGGGGATGAATGAATAAACAATGCAGTCTATCCACACCATGGAACATTATTCAGCCTTGAAAGGAAGGACATTCAGACACCTGCTACGACATGGGTGAACGTAGTGGATATTCTAAGTGAAAGAAGCCAGACACAAAATGCAAATAAGTGTGTGATTTCACTTATATGAGGTTTGTAGTCAAATTCAGAGAGACAGAAAGTAGAATGGTAGCTACCAGGGGCTGGGAGAGAGGAAGAATGGGGAGTGACTGTTGGACGGGGACAGAGTTTTGGTTTTGCAAGAGGAAGAGTTCTGAGGATGGATGCTGGCAACAGCGGCATAACACTGTGATGTGACTGTGCTTAACGCCACAGAACTGTACACTTAATAACGTGTGAGATGGTAAATTTGATGTTATGTGTATCTTACCACCAGTTTTTAAAAATGCATACAAAAATTTGAGAATTTCAGTCAAAAAAAAGGATTAATGTAGGAATGGTGGTGCAGTCATGACAACTGCAAACCAAGAACTGTCAACAGCATGAAAAAGCTATGTCAAGGTGAACGTGTTCGTATCTGTGCACGTGGACGTGGGCAGGAGAAAGAGCAGAAAGCCATGCCCCCACGGCAGCAGCGGCCACGCTCTGGATGCGCGCTTCTGTTCATCCTCACCGCTTCCTGCGTCTTCCAAATTTTACAAGATGAGCATATACTATTCTGATAATGGGGTGGAGAGACAGGGTAAATTAAGTATAAAAACCAACCACAAGAAAAGCTAAGGAATATGAATATTTATTAAATCTCTAGATCGGCAAGGGTCTCCATGTTGAATAGGAAAAGACAGGAAAAAAATCACGTAGGAAAAGAGCAATTTGTTTGATTACTTATAAAAGTGAAACCTAAAATTTAAAGGCAAATTCACACAACTAGAAATACAAATGCCCAACAATCGTACAGAGAGAACGGGGATCGAGGTCATTAATAAGCAAAGAATTCAAAGCTCATACAGGATGCCACTTTCACCTGTTATCGTGAGGGTTAGGGGTTTTGTTTGTTTTTAAGGTTTGTATACTCTGTATGCTTGTTTGCTTTATTTTCAGTTTTACTACCTTAAGGGAGCAGGAGAGTGGGGCAAGGACTGAAGTCGAGATGCTTTTGGCAATTTGGCACTGAGAGCCCGTCCTATGGGAGTAATGTGAAGTACACAAAATCATTTTATTCACAAAGTTGCTCATCACAACATTATTTACAATACTGAAAATTTGGAAATTGACTAAATTCCCAATAACTGAAAGGTTAAGTAAATAATGATGAAATTACACAATAAAATATACTACCACCAGTATAAAGTATCTTTGCAAAAACCTGTAATAACCACATGTAACAGTGGAAGAATAGGAATATAAAATTGCACGATACAGCACACGGTATGATTGTAACAGTGTAAAAAATTTACATCCCCAAAAAGACAAGATATTAAGTGACCCTCTTGGTGTAAAATACTGATGCATTTTCTTACCTTTTACTACATTCATATTTTCCAATTTTTCTAAAATTAACATGTTAATTTTACAATCAGAAAAAAATACTTTTAAAGTAAGGTACCCACAAGATTCCTCAGCGATGTTTATTTCATCCCATGATACAATCTAGAGAGTTCAAACCCCTCAGCCTCTTGGAAGTGGGGGCATGGGAGCGGGCGGTGGAGAGTGATCATGGATGGATGGATGGATGGATGGGTGGGTGAAGGGAGGACGGGACAACCTAAGGGTGGGCAGGGAGGCAGGGATCGGCAAGGGACAGTCAGGGACCAGTGTGCAAACTGGTCAGCCGAGGAAAGGGGCTTTGTGGAGTCAGGGAAGACTCTGACTGCTCAGCGGAGGTCTGTGTAGACCCAGTAGTAGGCACTAACGGTGTTCTTAAAGGGCAGGACCAAAGAAGGATTTCAGGAAGACACATGGATTCTTTGGGAGCAGGGGAGGAAAGAGGAGGGGGAGGTAAACTACGTGGGAAGGAGGTGCGAAGGGCTAGGATGATGGTGGTGGGAGTGGAGGGGAAGAGACCGATTGCCAGAGGGAACTCCCTGCGCTAAGCTTAAACCAGACGTATGTGGCTCACTACCGGACAAGTCTTCGTGGGCAAACAGAGTAGAGAATCAGCCCATAGGAGGAACCCACCAACAGCCGGGTGGATCGGCCCAGAGTTAATCTAGGGCAGCTCCGTTCGTCCACTTTCTGGCACAACGGAAAGGCTGTAGATCGGTGCTGTCCGATACGGTAGCCACGACGCACACTGGCTCTTGAGCCCATGAAATGTCGCAAGTGTGACAGAGATTGTGCTTTTGAAATGTTTATTTCTTTTTAATTAATTGAAATTTAAATAGTCACATGTGCCTAGTGGCTAGTGGCCAGCACATACCTAGGGCAGTGGTCCTCAAGGGCACTCTCTGGAGGAGCAGTGTCATGTGTCCAAGTGCAGACTCTCAGGCCTCAGCCCAGACACCCTGAAGCGGAAGCTCTGCAGGCAGGACCCTCGTGTTTCTGAGCCACTGGATTAGGGCCACTCAAAATTTCTGAGATTACCTGTCCGGGTTTCAACTAAACTGCATAAAAGAACCCCTGGCTCAAGTCTACAAAGAGTGACTTGAGAACCGTTAATAAAACGTGTCCAGCTCAGCAGGATCAGAGAAAAGTTACGTGATGCAACGAAGACATGGTTTCTCAAAGCCGATTCAAGATAAGGAATGTGGTTGTCTTTGAAGTGTGAAAACCAGAGAGCAGCCGCTCATCCCAATGAACGCTGCAGACGTGCACAAGCGGCTCTAAATTGCAGTGTCAAAAACACAAAAAGCGACCGTCGCCCGTGAGATGATTTAGAAGAGCACGCCCCTGAATGTGAAATGCAGCCGCGCTTCTAAAAGGAGAGATTCATAAAGGGAGGCCAAGAAAAGCGAAAACCTAAGGAGCATTCTGAGGCTACGCCCTCGCGGAGAAAAGAGGACACAGAAGCACTTCCAGCAGAGCCAGATCTACACGCGAAACACCCCAAAGCAGACCCAGCCCCAGCTGTGGCTTTGGTCACGTGGGTGAGTGATGGCCAGAATGCATGTCACTTTGCTCTCTTTGGCACGGTTCAAATTACGCCTTCAGCAAGAGTAGAATTTGGAGATTTTTTTTTTTTTTTTTTTTTGTGGTACGCGGGCCTCTCACTGCTGTGGCCTCTCCCGTTGCAGAGCACAGGCTCCGGACGCGCAGGCTCAGCGGCCATGGCTCACGGGCCCAGCCACTCCACGGCATGTGGGATCTTCCCGGACCGGGGCACGAACCCGTGTCCCCTGCATCGGCAGGCGGACTCTCAAGCACTGCGCCACCAGGGAAGCCCGAATTTGGAGATTTTTGATACTAAAACTGTGCTTCAAGAAAATAAAGAGGAAAAAAATGATGACGTGTACATATAATAGTCAACCATGAATGCAAAATAAAAGCCTGGGTGAAAACTTCTCGTTGTAACCGTGCAGTAGGAGATGAAGCTAAGTACGCTGAAAATACATCAGGAGGAATTTGACCGGATTGTAAGATTCTTAGTGGAAGTGATGTGAGTGACAAAGAAGGAGAAAGAAAAGGCTGGAGGAAACCATCTACAAAGCTGAGGCTTCCCAGGAGAGACTCGAGCTTCGGGATCAGGAGAGAGGAATAGGGCCCTCCACTCCTCAAGCAGAAATTGTTGCCAGAACACTGTCACTTAATCGCTTAGAAGACTGTCGTGTTACCATATATGCCTCCACTGTAGGCTAATTAGTAAAAAAAAAATCTGTATTTGAAATTTTACTGATTTGAAGTAATCTTATAATATCTTGCCTTTTAGTTTACAATTTAACACAGTGCAGTAGCTTAATTTGCCGTACTTTGTTTCACAAATATTTAAATACCAAAGCAGCACTTGTAAACAAAGAATTACTAAAGGTTACTTTGATACAGGACTACATTAGATGTTTATTAAGAGAGTGCTTGACTCTTCTGGTGACTACTGGTAATTAATCAACTTCAACGTGTTGTGAATATGACCTGTGAATACTCCATCATTTTTAAGATGACGTAGGCTAAGCTTATTACTACCACCTGCCTTTCTGGTTACTTTCATATTTAGGGAATATAGAACCACATTCTGGGGGATTAGAAATCACCTAATATTATATTAATGAAAAGTTTTCACAGTTCTCAAAATAATTTAGAATTTAACAAAATTAATGTTGTCTTTAATCAGCACTTAAAAAGTAGACTATTTCCTGTCTCCTGGATAAATGGATGTTTGCAACCAACCATCTCTAGAGAAGGAGAACATTAATGGTTTTGAATGACTCAATTCATGGATACAGTTATGCCTGTAACTATTTTCCACTGTGAATAAAGATACCTTTTAATAGATGCCTTTGGGTTCAAAGGTCATATTACTTGCTAACAAATGATTATTTGGGCCAGAAAGTCTCTGAAAAATTTTAACTGAATTTCTCATACATCTCATGACTCTAGTTTAGTGAGCATTATTTATTATTTGATGTAGAAATTCCATATTAATCACTTCATGCATATTTTGAGATTTGAAAATTTGTGATCTTAGAAAAACTGAAGCTAGACTTTAAGGCACTGGCATCTAGCATTATTATTTTACATTTTAAAAAGAAACCTAGATTACATGTTGATATAATATTTTGAATATATTGGGCTAAATAAGATATATTATTAAATTATAAACAAAAGAACTAGGAACTTTGTGTCACACCTAATTTGACATGTGGTTACTTTTTGAAATGCACTAAATTTCACAAATACTTAAAGTATTTCTTGAGTACAGTGTTATGTTCAGTTATGAGTGTTCCAAAAAAAAGGAAAGAAGAGGTTCAGCCCAGTCCAATTACCAACTATAAAGACAAATCAAAAGTTTCGGCTGTTACGTATTCTGAGGCCAAATTGTTGACGCCTGTTTTGACTGCCTACCCCTGGGGTTGCTTCCAATATTACAGGTAATCACGAAATAACCAGTGTAATTCCTTCTCTCACCAGCTGGACAGGAGAGCGTTATATATGCCCTCTGCGGTTGGCAACACTCAAGGCGTCAACGATCGGGGAAGGGCTCCACCTTGGGAGTCATTATACATATTGTGATCCTGCCAAGGGTCAGAAGCTACAAAATACAGTTCCCCTGCATGGACGTCTGAAAAGTTAGCCAGAAATTCCCGGGGATTGAAGCCAACCCACACAGTATACCTATAGTCTACTGTGCGTATGGAATAGCCCATGACCTTTATATCTTTTAAACTCGGCTTGTCAGAATTCCACTGAGGAGAGTCCGCAGGCCGGGGGTACTGGCTATAGGCCACCAACTCACGGGGATTACCACGGATGTACAGATCTTCTTCCGAGTCACGGACCTGAAAATGCTTCAGAAGGTTCCGGCCTTCTCGGCACAGCTCCACGTGAAACGAGGGGATGGGGCAGCGAGGAGGGACGGGCAGCCCTGCAAGTCCCGCGAGCGTGGGGAAGAGAGAGAGCAGTTCCACAAGGTCCCCGGCTTGCCGGCCTGAAAGAGGAAGCAGCCCGGCGGAGGGGGTTACAGCGCAGAAGCCTGCTGCAGCCAGGCAGCACGAGCAGAGCGCGCGCCCAGGCCCTACATGCCGACTTCTGTTCTCTTACAGCATTTATTCTTAGCCTGAGAGTTTTAGGAACAAAGCCGACTCGGCACCTCACCCGATAGCAGGGCAGAATGAAGATGCCCTCAGCCTGCTGGCACTTTTAAACACGATTTGAATTTAGGACCCACCAGTGTTTAAGTGATTCAGGCAAGGGTCATCGGTGGAGGCCCAGACCGTTGGGGAGAAGTCTGTTGAGGACAGGCTATTCCAAGCCTCACGGTAGCATCACCCCACGGATCACTCCTTTCTGGAAGTCTGCACTTGATCCATCGCCCTTTTATTATTGTAAAATACACACGACATAAAGTTTACCACCTTAACCATTTTGTAGTGTCTGGGTCGGGGGCATTAAGTACAGCCCCACCATCCATCACAGAACTCTCTTCACCTTGCACAACTCCCCGTCGCCACCCCCCAGCTCCTGGCACCCACCTGCTACTTTCTGTCTCTATGTGTTGACTACTCTAGGCATGGGTATGTGGACACATCTAGAGTATGTGTCCTTTTGTGCCTGGCTTCTTTCACTTAGCAGCATGTCTTCAGAGAGTCCACCCACGTCAGAGTTTCCTTCTCTTTAAGGCTGAATGATATCCCATTGTATGGACGCGCCACGTTTTGCTTATTCATTCATCTGTCAATAGACACTCAGGTTGCTCCCACCTTTTGGCTATTAATTAACGCTATGAACATTCTTCTGCACGTTTTTCTTTGAATGCCTGTTTTCAATTCTGTGAGCTATATACCTAGGAGTGGAACCGCCGAGCCACATGACCATTCTATGTTTAACCTTTTGAGGAACGACCAAACTCTTTTCCACAGCGACTGTACCATTTTACATTCCCACCGGCAACGTGTGAGGGCCCCAGTTTCTCCGCACCCTTGCCAGTACTGTTGTTTGCTGTTTGTTTTGATAGCAGCCGTTCTAATGGGTGTGAAATGGTACCTCATTATGGGTGACTTATCTTTAAAGTCTTTACATTGACTCCTGTTAAAATTTATTGTGACCCTGGACCATCATTCTAGCCTTTCTGGATCATTAAGCGCTTGCTCTATACGGCTCAATTTTATTTCCGACGCATTTGGTTTGTAAGTAAAATAAAAAGAAAAAAGGTGAAGAAAGCTTTTTTAAAAGATACCTTTACAAGGGCAAGACCTGGCTGACACAACCGCCTTAACCAGGCCGTCAAGCTTGGCATCACTAATAGTGGCACAGGCCGCCATGAAGTGTACAAGACGGCCGCCCCGGACGCTTGAAAGACACGAGGTCAGGGAGATGCGGGGTCCCAGAGGACGACAGGTCTTGTCGGCCACCGTAAGGACTTTTTACTCAGGGCAGGGCTGTGACACCACCTGGCTTGGGTTTCATCAGGCTCGCTGTGGCTGCTAAAGTCCAGGGGTCACGGGCACACGCGAGGGGAGCTTAGCAAGAGACGGTGGCAGTGCGGCCCACGGTGGTGGCGGCCGGTGGGGGAGTGGTGTGGACATGTTCTGAATGGAGAGCGACAGGCTTGCTGACACCACGAACCGCGTACAGACCATGACAGAAAGACGGGGGCCGATGGCCCCATGGTTTTGTGGCCTGGGCAACCACTGCCACTTCCTGAGATGGGGAAGAGCGTCAAAAGAAAGGCTTAAGGTCAAAGGTCAAATGGTCAGCTTTGGGCTGTTGGAAATCCAAGTCCAAAGATCAGGGAAGACATAGAGGCTAGAGGTAAAATTTGGAAATAAGCAGGGTGACAGTGCAGTTACATCAATTTACAACCTGAGCACCTCCCAACTGAAGTTTCAGAAAGGATTCTCAACCTGTCAGATTTCTCCCAGCAAATAAAGGGCTATAATCATGCCCTGAAACCGTTTAACATTTTTATCAATGACATGAAAGAAGACAGTGCATGCAGCACATAGAAATTAAATGTGTGGAAAACAAAATTGGGCCGTAGAAAACAAACTCGGGAAGATCCAGGAAGGCCAGAATGATGGGCCAGAACCAGGAAAAATTTAAACAAGAATCAATAGAAAGTACAGGATTTAGACGTTCACGCGATGGATTAAATGCAGAAGTCCTGAAAGGGAGCAACCTGGTTTAGCAGAGTTCACAGCAAAAGCGCTCCAAGAAGGGCAAACGCCACCTGAAGTACACGACTCATCTCTGCGCTGAGCAGATCGAGTCAGGAGACAACTCACAGAGAACCCACACAGGTCGACCCCCATGGCAGGGACGGCCATCTTGTCCAAGTGATGTTTCCAGAAGTGCTTTCTCAAACTGGAGCTTTTTGGAAGACAAAGACCAGGATAGCCAGGGGCCTGACGCTACCTGGAGAGGACCAGCTTGGGAGGACTGGGACAGGGAGGTCAAAGTAAACTTGCCCTTCACTCCTGGGGACGGCAAAAGCAGAAGCACTGATTTGACAGAGCCGGTGCTTCAGCAGGTGGAGATGCTGCCGAGCTGAGGCCCGGCCAGAAGTGAGCAGGTGACGGAGTTCTGCTCACCGGTAAGCAGGCAGCCCCTGCCCCAGTGGAGTCTGCTACCCCCTCCTCTGAGCTCAGAGCACACTGCTGTCACCTCTATGACAGCCCTCCCCATCCTGGGGGTGCCAGCTGCTCCTCTGTCCCTCCCCCTCTCCAAGCCCCTGTGGACAGGGGCCATACTCGTTAGCTCTGGGCCTGCCACTCCCCTTCCGCGCACAGGAAGGCCAAGTCAAGCAGCATTACTCCTGAATTTTCATACCTGGCTCCACTGATTCTGAGATGGAATCAAAAGGGTCGAGGTATGGGAAAAGCCTGTCGCCTGCCGCCGGAAGCGGAGCCGTCCTTCCCGGAACATAGAACAGCAGGGGCACGCGAGTAGTGACGTCAAAATTGCTGTATTTGGCCCATTCTCCGTGTTCGCCTAGAGCCCACCCTGGTTCATAAAAAGCACACAGAATGACAGAAAAAGAATAATCACCTCGTGGCTTGCTCATTTCAGTTAGACGCCATTTCATTCCCTGTTGTTAAAGCCAGAGGAAGCAAAACCTGATCGCCTAGAGGGCGTGTACCACCGAAACGGGCGCTGTGAGACTGTGGCACAATCGCTCAACTTCTAAAAATAGTATCTTTTTCAATTTTTAAGACATACCACAGACCAAGAAAACATAACTTCTGATTCCAGACCCTTAACCTTGATTAAAAACCACCCCCAACCCTCACTTAAAGCAAAAGATAGTTTGAATACCCTGAGATGGAACTTTCCAATCACTTCATGATATGAAAAATATAAAAGAGACTGTATGTTGAGTAGTTCGTATTAAAAAGTAACCCAAACTACAAAAAGCTGCTGTGCATGGGTTCAAGAAGGCTTCTGTGGTTCGGATGTAGGCAGTCCCAGGAGGGCCTTTTGAGAAGGGCCATTTGTAATCAGCTACAGCTGCCTCCGAACCAAAGCGAGCTTCGAGTGACCCTGCCTTCATGGGGGTGCAGTGGACTGTGGAAGCACCGGGGGAGAAAACTGGGCGCTGAGAAGACGGCCCGGAAGGGGATGGCAGATCATTAGGCAAACGGTGAAAAATTACACCTCCACACTTCACAATACGGGTCTTTACAAGGTGCAAGGTAGACCTGTGAGAAATGACACGGAGAACTGTCTATGACATTAAGTGGAAGAAACAAGCCAGGCAACAAAACAGGACACAAGCACAATCAATCCTGCCACATCCCACGACAATACGTTACGCACATACACACTCATGACATACAGCCCCATGTATATGCACGACTGAAGGCAGGTGGACGGACCCCCGATCTGTCAGCACCAGTTAGCTCTGGGCAGGTGGGATAAAGGGCAGGGTGCTCTGGCCCTACATGATGTGCTCTGCATACTTCTTTCTTGCTACAGTGAGCACATGCTATGATCTAACACTGTCGCACTTCACATTCGACAATATTAGAGAACTGTTTTCCTGTTTCTAGGTAGGATGACGGCAGTGTGGTTAAACTTCAGAAGAGCCAAATTTGGGCTTCCCTGGTGGCGCAGTGGTTGAGAGTCCGCCTGCCGATGCAGGGGACACGGAGTTCGTGCCCCGGTCCGGGAAGATCCCACATGCCGCGGAGCGGCTGGGCCCGTGAGCCATGGCTGCTGAGCCTGCGCGTCCGGAGCCTGTGCTCCGCAGCGGGAGAGGCCATGACAGTGAGAGGCCCGCGTACCGCAAAAAAAAAAAAGACCTAAATTTATTAGAAATACTGTTCAGAAAACTAAACCACCTGAGACTGGCTTCAAAACAATTTGGGGGTGAGGGAGGATAACCGGGGCTCACTGGCCTCAAACACACCCTGGCCAAAATTAAAAAGAATTTTTTTAAGATGTTTCCACTTTTGGAAAAAGTGAGAAACTGCCTTAGAAGAGACACAGAGTTGTGAACCCCAGGCTCCTGGCAGAGAGGACAGTGGGGCAGGGGGTGGAAGGGGTAAGTCGGGTCTGAGGGCCTTGTTGGGCTCTGCCAGGATTGTTCTGGATCTTCGTAAGAGAGACTAAAACTCCTCCAACCCTCTAGGTTAGAAATGGGTCAAAGGGGCTCCCCACACAAATGGACGGCTCCCGCTGAGCTCACCAAGAAACAACAGTTACTACAAGGTCCCCCCACCCACCCAGCTCCACCACCCAAGCCCCCAAGATGCTTCTTTGACCCAAAAGAGGGCCCGCCTCCGTGGAGAGAAGTCCCAGGACTAACAAGGTGGCCATAAAGGCACCCAAGACTCCAGACTCAGGGCACTGCTGGTTCACAAAAGGGAATACACACCTATTTCAGGCAGCCTAGGAAAGTTTCCACAGAAAAGGTCCAATGCTTTGAGCGACTCACCTGGGCATTTCAAAACGCTTACCGTGATCCGAGGTGAGCGCCACAATCGTGCTGCTCGCCAGCTGCAGATCGTCCAGGGCACTCAAAAGGTGGCCAACCTGCGTATCCAAATACGAAACACAGGCAAAGTAGCTCTGGCGGATTTTCCGCTGCAATTTAAAGAAGAAGAAGAATAGTGAGAGTGACTGCAAGTTAAAGTGCATGGCATACCCAGCCACAGTGCTCGCCTGAGCACCCCTCCCGGGCCCCAGCCCTCGGGTGCCCTTGATGACCTTCTTAGCCAAACGGAACACTCCATTCCCTGCCATCTCACCCCCCCCCCCATACAGCCACAGCGAAACCCGCACGTCCACAAGGAGGATTCTTTGCTAAGCACATCAGTTTTCACTTTAGGGCACAGATCACAGCACGTGGATGTACCACTTACTATTCCTTTCTGTCTCCTTCACATACTCTTGCGGGTCCCAGGAGACACCCATGTACACAGAAACTGACCCCTCAGCCTTCCAAAGTCTGCTGAGGGTCACACCAAAGGTACCATATAGCTGTATTCATTTCCTGGGCCGCTCTAACAAAGTATGACAGACTTGGCGGCTTCAAACAACAGAAACAGATCGCCTCCCAGTTCTGGAAGCCAGCAGTCTGAACTCAAGGTGTCGGCAGAGCCTCTCTGAGGCTCCAGGGGAGGAACGTTCTAGCTTCTGGCGGTGGCCACAATCCTTGGCGCTTCTCACAAGGACCCCAGCCATGCTGGGTCAGGGGCCAGCCCACGGCAGCATGACCTCATCCTGACCAGTCATACCTGCAATGACCCTGTTTCCAAACAAGGCCATTCTGAGGCCCTGGGGCTCAGGACCTCCACAGATCTTCCTGAGGGACGCAACTCAACTCTAACAACGGCCGTGAGTGGGCCTCTCCCCTGAGCTCTTCGTAACCCAGTGGATGGCAGCCGCTTCCCTCACAGCCCGTGGCTGGCACGTGCGCTTCCGGCCCAACAAACTGCCCACAGGCAGGACAACGGTGGCGGAGGAGGGAGAGCAGCCCACTCCCCACGGACCCCCACCCCAGAGCGGCTTCCGGAGCAGACAGGCTCCGTGAAAGAGCCGCAGCCTCTGCTGGGCTGACTCTTCCGCCGCCTTGTTCACAAATCTTAGAGAAAAAGATGAGTCCTCTACCCCTGCCACAGGGGAGAAGCGAGGGAACCGCCAAGCCATCAGACCAGCCCCAGCTTCCGTGTGTCCCAGCTGGTCCTGTCAGCCGGACCCGCGGTGAGAACAGTCATGAGACTCGCCCCCTCTCCCCAGGTGGTGAAGACAATGGATATCCATCTAACCTTCTAGAAGGATTATGCTGAACCCTGGCTACTTCTAGCTTCTGGTAGATAAAAGTCTCCAGTCTGTAACTTGGGGAACTTCAGTCCTCCTGGGGACCAAAGACACCTGTCAGGATGGCTGTGTACTAGTCAAGGGTACGCCTTCCTTCCTATGCGGGCCCCTGGAGACAGGAGAAGCAGCAGATGTGGTCGTCAACCTCACTGAGCCACCCGTCCAGTGAGGACAGGAATGGAGACAAGAAAAGGTGCATTACTGGTGGGGCCCAGGGACGACCCTGGAGGATGAGCCCTCGAGTCGGCCTGGGGAAGTCGGGGGAGGCTTCACAGAGGAGTTAGCATTTGAGGAAAGGAGCTGGCAGTCAGACAAGCGGGGTCGGATGCCCTAAGCAGGGGCTGCAGAGCGGGGAACAGTGTGGAGTCACCGCAGGCCAGGGCACGTTTTGGGCCAGCAAGCTGACCAGTGTGGCTGGAGAGTCACATGGGAGCGCCGGGGAGCAGGACAGGACACTGGAAAGGCAGGTCACGGCCAGATGATACAGACCCAGAGGGTCCATCCACGGAGTGGAGGTCTCGGGTTGGAGGCCAGCAAAGGCACCGAGGTCACCCGAGGAGAGGAAGTGACACAATCTGGGCTGCAGGTGAATGAGGGTCCCCCACCGAGAGCCCGAAGCAGACGCCAGGGGCTCGAGGGGAACCGGCAATAGATCAGCGCTGCGCGCACGGGGCAACCTCCACGGTCGCTCGTTGAAGCGACAAACCAAGACCAGACCACTGCGGTGGTCCACGAAGTGGTGCCGAAGAGGAATTTAGGGAGATGGGGTAGGAGCGAGGGAGGGAAAGGAGCTGAGGACCCCAAAGGGAACGCCAGGTTTCTCGCTAGGCTGGCAGCACGATGCAATGGCACGGAGAGGGCGGGGGCGCAGGAGGAGGAGAAAAGGAAGAGCAGGAACGGCGGTGCAGCCACACGGGGCCTCTACCAACCAGTGGACAGACAGACGCGTCTGGAATCAGGAGCGTGGGGCTGGAGAGGCTGTCCCGGGCTCATCCACAGCAGGCCCGGCGGGCAGGGCTGGGGGCGAAGAGCATAAACAACACAGGGGGCGGCCCTGGGCTTGAGCCCGGAGGGCAGCACCTCCTAAGCAGCTGACACAGGACGAGGCGCCTGCCCTGGGGCCTGCAGTGGAGGGGGCCCAGGAGGCTTGGCGAGGAAGCCCAGGAGCAGACATTTCCAGAAGGCGTAGCTCTCAACAGTGAGAGGGCAGCAGGGATTCAGGGACGGTCAGAACCCCCGAGGCTGGATTTTATTTGCCAGTGAGATCAGGGCTGACCCAGATGAGAGAACGCTTAGTGGGATGCGGAGGCAGGAGGCCGCACAGAGGTGGACGAAGAATGAAAGGGCAGTGAGGCCACAGACGCAGCAGAACAGAGCACGTCGCACTCATTCTCCCGTGGAGGGCGGGCGAAGGAGCAGAAGGGGAGGAAACAGGCAGGGCCCAGGGAGGCGGTACTTCTGAAGATGGGATGGACGGCTGCACGGAAGTTGGGAGGAGACGGCAAGGAGGGGCAACGGGGTAGGGAGGGGCCGAGTCCCTGCTGCTCTTCTCCTGAGACCAGGGAGAAGGCCGCAAGCTCAGCACACAGGCACGCACAGTTCTGGCTACAAGTGAGGGAGGTTATTTCCAGCTCCCATTTACCAAGTACCTGCTGGGTGCCATCTGATCCTCCGAGCCACCCCGGAAGCTGAGCATTACCACTTCCATCTTACACAGGAGGACTCCAAGGCTCCGAGAGGTTGATTAACTTGCCTAGAGACACACAGCTGGCAAGGGGCACAGCCAGGATGTGTACCCACGTTCAGCCTGTGCCTTCCCCTTCCTCAGACTGGTAACCAGCCTCTGCCTCTGAAACAGGAAGTACAGTCATCTGCTGAGAGACGGGGCAGAAGGGCGGGGGGGCGGGGGTGGGAGGACGTGGGGGCAGAGGGATGTGAGGGGCTGGAGGGGAGTGGTGAGGGTTCAGAGCAGCTGCAGAGGGCAAGAGGGAGCCGAGCAGAGGACTGGGCATGCGAGCATGTCCCTGCCTCAGGACGCGGGCTTGAGAGCAGACAGGGTGGCCGGACTGTCCTGTGGTCAGGGTATTGCAGTCAGGACGAGGATAGAGGGACACGCGTGCTCAGGAGCTGGCGGGAAGAGTAAGTGACCGGCCACGAGGCCTCAGCTATCCAGGGAGGGAGCAAAGCCCAGAGGGGAGCTGGACACGGGGGAGAGGGGGCCACACACCAGTGATCCCCGCGTGGCCCCAGGCTCACGCACACGGCACTGAGTTAGAGGGCTGACGGCTGAAGGGGGCGCAGGACCCAGAGGCTCGAGACCCAGAGCTACAGGCGGATGATGAGCAGGGCCAAGTGCGAGGTGAATGTGGGGCGGGGATCAGCACACGAGTACACCAGGGAGGTCCTCTGGGTCACTGTGAATCTGTGTGTCCAACTGGGCAGCTACACCACCAGCGGGCGTGGTGAGAGGAGGGGCTGAGACAATCGGGAAGGCACCCTCGCCGTGCAGCCGACACTGCCCTAGACACACCCCCCCACATTCACTGTGGTCCCCACTGAAAACCTTCAGAGCAGCTGTCATCACGGAAAACCTTCCCCCATCTTGTGTCGACTTTGCAGATGAGGACACCGAGGCTCAGGGAGATAGGATGACTCGTCAGCAGCCATGCAGCCGGTGTGGGGTAACTGGAATTCGAACCTAGACTGGTCAGAGCCAGCGAAACAAACGTGGGGGCTCTGGCATCACACCTCCCAGGGGGCGCTCCTCCGCAGTAACTGCGTGATCTGGGCAAGTCTCTAGTGTCCTTACCTGGACAACAGAGACAGCAGGCCCCCCGCTAGGGTCCCACGGGGACCAAAGAGCACACACAAAACGCTGAGCACCCTTCCCGGTGTGCAGTCCAAAATGTAAAGGGTCATCGGGAACGACTGCCGCTAACGCGATGTCCAGGCGCAGCCTCGGGGCTGCAACTCCAGCAAACCCCGCTCTCAGAACCCCTGCGGGGGGAAGTAGGAACCCAACAGACCGACGGGCCCGCTGCTTCTCAAACTCTTACCACTGCCACCCGAGACGCAGGGTGGCGCGGCCCTCCTCACTCAAACCCTTGCGGGCCGAACACAGGGGCCAGAGAGCAAGAGACACCTGGGCAGTCTGTCTGGTTTTGTTTTGTCTCGACACGTAGCCTACAGCAGCGGTTCTCAAACTTCTGCCTGCATTAGAATCACCAGGTGTGTGTTTTTGGAAATGCAGGTTCTCGGGCCCCACTCCCAGCCTCCAACTCCCTGACTCTGAGTGGGACCAGGATGCCGTGCTTCTAACGAGCCCTCGTGGGGGTTCTGACGCAGGCGGCCCAGGAAGCACTGTGAAAACGCTGCCCTCTTCCTTCCCCTATAGATGGGCTGCGGGAGCGTTCACGTGCTAACAGAAAGGCAGGGCTGCGTGTGGAATATTCCAGAAAGAGTGTTGCTCAGCGTGCGCTCTGCGTGCCAGGGAGAGTGGGGTTGACGAGTCACCCCCACGTCACAGCAAACGGACCCCAGACACTGCAGCTGGACAGGGCTGGCCGTGGTGGTGCCCCAGCCCCCTCTGTGCCAAGGCCCCGCTCACCAAGCCACCTCCTGAGAGTAATGGATGCCCGTGTCGGCGTTCCCACAGGGGACCCGCCAGGACCAGCAAACTGAGAGTTCTGGGTGGCACGGGAGTCGCCAACCACCCTACACCTGACAGACTGTCACCTGGATTCAACAGCATCTCCTGTCAGTTAGTGAGGGTCACCCAGGGCCTCTCCCCATGCCAGGCCCACAGCCTGCAAGTCCCCAGATCTCCAGACACCCCCTTCTTTGGAAGCGGAGACGCTGAAGGGGAGACTCTCTATCCACCCAGCACGTTCGCCCCAACCCCGGTGCTCCACAGGCCGCCTCACACAGAGAAAGTTCTCAGCAAGACACAAGGGACAGAGCATGTCCACCGAAAAAAGCACCATCACTCGTGACATCATGCCATAAGTGCCCAATACTTCCCCCAAATCCGTCCTTGATACCTGAAAGTCGGCGGGAATCGGGCCGTAGGGCACACTGAGGTTTAAGGCTTGGACATCCTCCCGCTGCCTGATATCCATCCAGGGGTTGTAGGCCACAGGAGGGAGGCCGGCAGGGACCTGGGGATCAGGAGCTAGGGTGATGTTCTCCAAGGGATACAGCTTCTGAAATTCCTTGGGGGGAAAGCACACAAAGCCACCGGGCCGTCACTCTTCCGGCAAAGGCACAAGGCTGGGCCCCTACTGGTGTTTACGCTGCCTCTCCTCTAAGCCTGTGATACGTCTACACAAGTACCTCCCCCACTTGAAAGGCACTCTCACAAGATGCCAGTGGTAATGAAACGAGTTGGCTGGTTTCCTACAAACCGAGCAGTGACAGCTCTCTTCCCTCATAGAGACCGATGCCCTCTTCTTCCCGTTGCCACCTCCCCTCCAACTAGAAAAGGTGTGCAGAGGTGTGGCCAGTTCCCCAAATCAGCCTCACGCTCAGAAATTCACTGGGAGAGCACACAGGAGTCCGCACACAGCCCTACTCACGGCTGCAATTACTGCAGAGAAAGGATACCAGCCACAGTCAGCAAAGGGGATTGTCACAGGGGGTATCTGGGGGAAACCAGGCACAGGCTGCCAGTCTTCCCCCGGTGAAATCACACAGGATGCGTGCAATTCCACCAGCAACAAGCTGTGTGACAGCATGTGTACAACGCTGCTGCCAGGGAAGCAGAGGCTCGTGAAAGCCTCAGCACCCAGGATTTTTACTGGGGCTGGTCACGCAGGCACCCTCTGCCTGCACACATCAAAATCCCAGACTCGAAGCAGGAAAGGAGGGGTTTCCGTGAACAGCTCAGGCCTAGGGAGCCACTTGGCAGTTCTGGGAATGGTGGGAACACTCCCGAGATCCAGGTTCCCAGAGGCCAGGCCAAGGGTCAACCTCAGGAGCAGGCCTTTCAACAGATCACAGTCAGGCCTGGTAGGTTAACTCCTTCTGCACGAGAGACAGAAGTTGGTCTCACTCCATCGAGCGGGGCTGACAGCTCCTGCTAGGAAGGTGAGATCCCCTGGGCCAATCAAAGCGCGACACTCACAGCATCAAAGAGCACGTCTCTGGTCTCCACGCCCATCGCAAGTGACGGGCATGCTTTGCAAAGTCAAAAGGGTGGGCTGCTCAGGCTCAGGGAAAACATGATAGGAAAAAACTGAAAAATACTCTGAAAAAGAAGAGACTACGTACTCTAACTGATACACATGCAAGTGCAGGATTCGAGCCTCCAACGAGGCACATGCTGCCCTGTGTTTCAGGGCTCAGGGGGAAAGGCAGTTACTGAAGAGGGCTTCACATCTCCTGGAATTCTGTACCAAGGACCGCCACTTACTGCAGGCTTCGGTGGCCAGCTCTGCATCCCTTTTCCGTGATGACTCACTAGCCAACCCAACATTACTCACTGACTTCTAGCGAAAAACCCTCCAGTGGAGGAAGTAGAAGCCAAGCGTTTCTAACAAGATTCCTACGTGTCCTAAGTCTACTTCTTAGCCTTGACCTCTGAAACCCATCTTCATGCCACTGAGTATACTAGTGCCATCAGGCGTCCCTGGTGACAAGGGATGGCAGGACGTGGCCACCTTCACTATGACACAGCTGTCGCAGCTGTGCTGGATCAGCCGTCAGCCAGCTCTTCACCTTGGGGTATCTGAAGGGGATGTGCGGCTTATGATAGCCCACAGCCAGGAAGAAAGGACTGGCAGACGTTTTCATCTTTCCCAACAACCGTATGGCTTGCTCGGTGCTCTGCTTGTCAGGCAGGGTGCCCTCGGGCACATCTGCCACATCCACAGGGCACAGCAGGTTGGCATGGAGTTCTCCGTCTGGTCCCCTGCAGGTCTTCCAAAACAAAACATACAAAGTCAGCTTTTTAAGTGCAAGAAATAGAAGTCATGAAAGTTCCCCACAATGGATTTAACGTTTATATTTCGAGCACATTAAGTATTAGTCATTCAGACTACACGGGCACATAGAAGTAGAAGTAAAACAGAGAAGCGTTTCTTCTTTTCCAGGCAGAGGCCAGAAATCCAGCAGAACTTAGTTCGCTTCTCGTTGTTCATTCTCTGTCTCTAGGTCATAATTAATTAAAGGAAACCGAAGTAAACTCACGATCAAAAAAAAAAAAATCTGTCTCTAATTCAACAATAAAAAAACGTAGACCAAGGACTTGAATAGATATTTCCCCAAAGAAGATATACAAATGGCCAACAAGCACATGTAAAGATACTTCACATCATTAGTCATTAGGGAAAGGAAAAAAAAATCTGTTTTCAATTTCAACGACAGACTAAAGCTTATAAGTGACAGGGTCACAGTTAACTAGATAAAGTGACAGTTCATGGAATTTCCAGATCCTCAACTCCACCATGCACAGGATGGAACCTACCGCTTCGTTTCTTAAAGTGGCCACGTCGGCCACAAGGCCAGTTTCAGTTTTGACCACGACTTCTACCTCACAAATACCCAGGGGCATCTCACCGAGGAGCAACCTTTCACAGCTCTGCCCTGTCCACACCGCCCTGGGCAGGGCAGCCACCATCTGCCCCCCTGCTCACGTTCACATGGTCTGCAGCACCGCCAGGGATTTGGTGCAGTCAGACCCACCGTCTTGAGAATGACGTGGGACATGGGCACAGGGACCTGGCATTTGTGAGACTACTAAAAGTAGCAAGATGACTTCAGGGAACAGAGGCATTGAGATGGGGTCTTCCGATCTCATTCTCTTAATACTCAAGCCACAAGCCAAGGGCCAGAGCCCGCTGGCTTTCACTGTATTCTGAAATGAAAGTTGTCATGAATTTAGAACACTTTTCTGCACCCCACCAACCTCCCCAAATCCACACCCTTCTCCACACGATGGCTCTAAAATCCTCTGAGAAACATGTCATTTCTCAACACTCCAGCTGTTTCCCTGAATTTCTTAAATGTAAGTTTTAGTTGCATTTATACATCGGGGGCTCTTCTGAACCGAGATTAAGTTTCCTTATAGATTCCTTTTTTTCGTAATGCTTTAAAATTTTAAAGCCCCTATCAAAGGTCTCAACACCTGAACATATCCATTAGGCCCAAGACAGACAGACAGACAGATAGACGGAAAGCCTTTCTCCCAATCTGGGCTGAGGCGCTTAGAGCACAGGTCTCTCTTCGTCCTTCCATGTCTCGGCATCTCCTATAACGAACCCTCTGCACAGAGCCTTATCCAGAGTGAGCACGAAGGAGCCATTAAGTGAGCCTTGCACACTACAGCATAAGCTTCTAGAGCAAGGCATCCCTGCCGGCTTCGAAAATGCAGCCACCTCTCCACTGGACCTAATGCTCAAGATCCCAGCGCTCATCCCTGCCAGGTCATGATCACAAACCAAACCCACAAAGCCCACCACATAACCAGCTGGGAAGGACGCACGTGCTGCACACACAACAGTTAACCTGAATTTGCTAGACAGGGAAGAAGAGGCCCCTCTTCAGACCAGTACCCCTTGCACGGCCTTACCTTGGTGTTTTCGTACTTTTCAGAGGACGGATGATAAGGTGGAACAGACCAGCTATAGGGAGAGTCGTCACTATGATTGGAAGACACTCCTTGAGGGGGAAGAAGGAGGAAAGTCATTAAATAAAGCATGGCGAGTCCTTCAATGCCCTCCCCCACCAAAATGTACACTTTGTACACAACTGGGAAAGGGCCATCCCCTTCTTTTGGCCTCAGTTTCCTCATCTATAAAATCAGGAGCCTAGGCCAGATGATGAGAAGTCCCCACGAAAGCCGACCCTCTGGGCTTCTATCTGAGTACTGAGCCCCACCCTACAAAGGAGGCGGCAGAGGCAGGGGCACAGCCATGGCTGGCTGGGCAAGGGGAGGCTCCGCGAAGCGGGGTGCTTTGCCAGATGCCAACCAGACACGAGACAAGGGGGCCGGGGTTCGAACCCCGACACTGCCTTAGGACGCCAGGTTCAGTGCTCTCTCATGACGCAGAAACCCGCCTGTTTACAGTCTACCTGGGAAGACAAAATAACAACGTGCGACACCGAGGAAGGACTGCCAGCCGTCTGCAGAGGAGAAGTGCTGTGTGAGTGAGGGAGCCCCGGGCACAGAGGGGACGTAGGTCCGGGGAGGGCTGGCGGCGAGGGCTCTGGAAGGAGGAACCGCCTGTGCAGATGAGCCGGGAGGAGCTGAGAGGGTAGCGTGGGCAGCGCCACGGGAGAAGGGCGTCGCCAGCACGGGGACACACGGGGACTCCAATGACGAGCACCTGGCCAGGCAGGACTGGAGGCAAAGGGGCAGCGGGCGGAGGGCTTCTCAACCCCGCAGGCACAGTGGAAGCGCAGAGTGGGCTGACAGACCTGGTCCAAACCCCCGCGCTGCCCTACGTGCCCGTGCAATCTCGGGCACGCTCTGTGAGCCTCCATTTCCTCCTCGGGAAATGACGCCGATGAAGAACCCACCTTGCCTGCTGCTGGGGAGAGGATTACGGGGGCAGCTGGCACAGCACCCAGCAGGCGCCTGGCACGCAATCAATGGTGGCTGCCGTCAGCCTCAAGCAGGCCCCTCCCCGACACAACAGGGTCTTGAGAACAAAGACCCGCTTGAAAAATGTGTCTCCCGGAGGGCTGCAGGCCAAGTGTTTGCTCTCGGGCTAAGACAACCCCACAATCTAATTATCAGGGGTAAGGAGGCCAGGCGCCACCCCTCGGGCCCCGTCAGGCCTCCCTTCCTGAGGCACGATCTCCCCTCTGCTGTGTTTGCTCCTTTCGTCTCTCTCGCAAGCTGTGCTCAGGCCAGAGTGTCAAGGTGTGAGCACCAACTGCAGAAAGTTCTACTTGCACTTGCTGGCGACCTTTCGGCCGCACAGCCTGACAGATCTCCTTCCAAACTGGGCCCAACTTTGCGGCCCCTCGTGATAAGCGTTTCTTGGGACAGAGCTCGGGCTCTCAAGGCACCCCCCCCACACACGCTGCCCTGGGATCCTCCCCTGGGAAGGGAATCAAGGCAGCTGCCACTCCAGCTTCCCACAGGAGGAATCGGAGGCTCGAAGAGGTTGAATGATTTGCCCCAGGTCCAATGCACACCTAAGAAGTGGCAGAACTGGGACCAGAACCCAGGGGCCGGCATTCCCGGTGCCACTGCCCATCAGCGGTTCACTCTGCCTCCAGAGGTGCTCATCCCGGCGGAATGCGGCACAGAGGAGACCTGAAAACAAGTGGGACTAAACTACAGTACATGTCTCTGTTAGACCACTGTGCTGCCGTTAAAGGTGACGGCACGAAGTCACCATGCGGGAAAATGTTTATGTCTAAAACACTCACAATATAGCTGTGCATCACTGCTGGTACAGTGGCGAGCACAGCTGCCTTCCACAATGTAAAGTTGTATATCCAGGAAAATCTCAAATCAGAAAAATAATACGCCCAGAACCAGGGGACGTCATCACAATACAGCTCTCCTTAGTGGTGCAAATACAAGCAATTTATGTTCTTTTTTTTTCTCTCTCTTTTCTGCCGCGCTGCGCAGCTTGCGGGGTCTTAGTTCCCGACCAGGGATTTAACCCGGGCCCTCAGCCGTGAAAGCGCTGAGTCCTAACCACTGGACTGCCAGGGAATTCCCAATTTATATTTAGTTTATACCTCCCTTTTTCTCCCACAACTTTCTGTCAAATAATAATGCCTTACTTCAAGTTAAAAACAAAAAAGTTTTAAACTCTCTGCTTCAGCATTCTCATTCTGGCAGTTTAGCTGGCAGTGTTGAAGGTCAGGACTGGGTGTCCCCTGGCACCCTAGAGCCCCTGGGTACCAGCTTACCCTCCTCTTTCTGACCTAATTCACAGACAGCGGGCAGGCACCCCCTGCCAGATTACAGCCTCTTCACTGGGCAAGTCAGCAGAGCTGCCCTGGTCTCACTTCACTGCCAGGGACCCCGGGTTACAGGGGGTCAGGCGCAGAGCTGGACGCCCAGCCAACACTCCCCTCCCCCACAGCCAGTGCCCTTCCTTCCCCCCACGCAGCCAAAGGAACCAAACAGCACCGTGACTAGTTTCCAAAAGGAAGAAAAAGCCCTGCTACCCTTTTTCACTTTTGGTGAGAACACAAAGCCAAGCTGAGACGTGACAGCCTGCACGAAGGTGGCAGCGACTAACCAGGTGTCCACCGAGCCCCAGCCCCAGGAGGGGACCCCCGTCCTCAGACACGAAAATGGAGAGAGCCCAGACTCGGAGGGGCAAGCAGTACCAGGATGAAAGACTTTTCCAACCGACATGGTCACGTAGCCATTCTCCTTGAAGTACTGCGGGATGGTGGAGAAGTTTCCAGAGTGTGCCCTCCAGTAGGAGTTGAAGTCATACAGGCGGGTAGTGTCTGGTCTCCTCCCGGTGAGCAAGGACACGCGGCTCGGGGCACACACGGCTTGCTGGTAGGGAGCAGAAGCAGAGGGACACGTCCTCAGAGGAAAACAAAGTCTGGGAGCTAAAAGGTAACCAGGCAACCTCCCAGGTCCTCGACTAACAGCTTGGCGGCTGAGTCATGCAGATCTCAAAGCCAGCCAGCAGGATTTGGGCCTCACCCAGTTGCCAGCAAGAAGTCTTCCCCGAGAGAGGAAGGCCCCAGCCCCTCCATCCAGCAGATGACTGTGTCGTTCTGCATGATGGCGTCTCACGGGTGCCCGGAGCAGGCAAAGGTCTAGGGAGCGGCCTCATGAAGGGGCACAGGAAGGAGGGCCGCTGTGGCAGCATCCCCTCCTTCTCAGCACCAGGTAACCTCCAGTTGGGGGAAGAAAGGTGGGCAGGACCAGCCTGAACACAGTATACCAGGGCACACCCTCCACCCAAGGAGAAGCACCCCTGAAAGGCACAAGCTTCCTTGCCAGTGGACAACCAGGTTTGCTCAGCCGCCATTTTCCAAACTGTGCTCCCCTCTACTAAAGAGATGCCTGGCACAATGAATACCATGCCCCAGCCCTCAGTGCACGAGGCACACACCCACACCCAGAGGTGCCCAGACATACCTGGGCAAAGGCATTCTGGAAGAGGAGGCTGCGGGAGGCCAGCTGGTCCATGTTTGGGGACCTTATGAGCTTGTCCCCGTAACAACCCAGGGAGGGGCGTAGGTCATCCACGATGATTAAAAGGACATTCAGAGCATCTGCACAGGAAGGAGGGGCTTCAGTGAGATCACCTGCACTGACACCCAACCCCCACCCGGGGTAGGTGCTAGGGTACCCAGAGGTCCAAGGCTGGTCCCAGCACCTTGACAACCCAGCCAGCTACGCCAGGGAGGGTGGAAGTGGGTGCACAGAAGAAGCCCCAGTCCGGGGTGGCAGGGTTAGGCTTTGGCCATGGCCTCAAGCCTGGATGAGGGAGGGAGAGAAAAAAGAGGGAGGGAGGGAAGGATGGTGGGTGGGTGGGAGGGAGGGAAGGGAGGAAGGATTGATGGAAGAAGGAATGGTAGGAGGGAGGGAGCGAGGGAGTTAAGGATGGAGGTAGGCAGGGAAGTAAGGAGGGAGCCCCGCAATGTGGGCGAGGGCGCCGGAGGCACCTGTGGCCGAGCTGCCCAGCGCCGCGGATCCGACGGAGCCCAGGACCAGGCCAAGCCAGAGCAAGCCCCCGCCTGGCGGCAGCATTTTTGCCCCGCCGCAGCCGCTCCGGGGCGACGATGACAGGTTTTGGCAGGAGGGTAGGGCCGCCCCCGCCGCCTGTCGCGCGTCGTAAACCCGGGAACCCTGCCCGACGCGGCCGCAGCCGGCCGCATAGGCCGGCGCCCCGGCCCGAGCGCGACTGCGCCTGCGCGAGATCCGGGCCACAGGGGGCGGAGCCGAGGCTTCCGCGCAGCGCCTGCCCCGCCCACCGGGCCGATTCACTGCTCGGGGCGCACCTCCCGCGTTGGGCAGGTACTTGGGGAGTCTTCCCAGGTGTCTCCAAAGATTTGCGTTGCAACCACTGTCCTCAACCAGCAGTTTGCCGCCACTTCGCCTTTGCTCGTGCTATGCGTTTCACCTGGAGGCCCTTCCCTTCCCTCTTCTCTCTATAAAAGTCATACTTTTCCTTGCAGACCAGCCCAAATGCCATTCTCCTTCCATGAGGCCCTTTGAGAACTCGCCTTCCTCCATCTAAAGGGACCCCCTTGCTCAACAAATACTTACTAAGTACATCAGATATGTATACCGCGCACTGTTGGCAGCTTGGAAGTCCTGGCGGCTGGGAGTTCTAAGTTCCTTCCCTTGTGGAGCTTGTGGACAATACATGACCAAATAAATATTGAATAGCAGTGGGCATGTGTGGTCTGGAAAAAAAATATGGGGGCGTGGGTGGCACATGGGGAGTTTCATGTTATTTTCCATGGGGTGGCCAGGCAAAGCCTCACTAGTAAAGTGATATGTGAACAAAAACTTGAAGGAGGTGAGGGAGCAGGCATTGTGGAGAACATGCTTGACAGTGTTAGCTGATGGCACAGAGGCTGGTGTGGCTGGTGGAGAAACAGGAGATGGGGAGCAGGTAGGAGATGGGAGGAGTGAGGGTCATAACTCTTCCGGTGGCAAGAATCATTCACTGGGTGCCTGGGGCTGAGGGTTAGGCAGGACATCACAATCCTCTCTCTCTGTCTCTGACTCACTTCCACCTCCTAGTGAAATAACCTAACACAATGCCAGGCAGATTGGAGATCTTTTTTTGCATACAGGAACACATAAGTATTAGTATAGTTATTGAGGGTTTCCTATACCCAGGCAACATGCTAATTTTCTCCTCACACCAACACTGTGAGCTAGATGCTACTATCATTCCCATTTTACAGATCCAGAAATTAAAACTCAAAGAGGCCAAGCCACTTGACCTGGCACACAGCCAGGAAGTGGAGGTGCAGGGTGGGTTTCCGTGAGAGGGGACGTCCTCGGTTGGCAGCCAGAGCGCAGTCATCGCAGGAGGCCTGCTGCCATTGCCGCTGCACCTCATTTGCTGTATCCTGGGGTCCCAGCAGGTTGGCTGTTCACACCGCAGCCTGGCTGGCAACGCCCCCTTCCCTGGGAAGGGCCAGCCTCCACCTGCACTCCCCAGACCAGAGCATAGGACGAGTCCCTCGGGGTGGGCCAGCCCCGGCCAAGTGCCCAAGCTGCCAGGCTTCAGGAGGCACCTCAGCTGTCCCTCCTCATCCAGACACTTCCCTTGTATTGGTGGCTGCCTTTTCCCTCCCAAAAGTATGGCCCCTAATGTTTCAGGAAACTCTGAGCCCAACCTCAACAAGGACTCCAGTGTCTATTTAGAAAATTACTCTCATCCTTATTTCCTCTTTCCTTGGCATCTGTGATACTTTCTCATAGCAACGGGTGTCTCCTGCGAGCTTGTGAACTAAGGAGCAAATGATATCATACTTGTCATTATCAAAAAGCCATTAACACAAAATCATTCAGTAAACCCCAGGGTTGACCAAGGAAGGGAATGAGGCAAAAGCCACACACAGTTCCCACCTCTAAAAATGTCTGTAGTTCTCTTGTGGACTCCGTTCAAGTCGGCAAACATTTCCGGAGCACCATCCCGTCCAGGCCCTGGGGCGGGAGGTGGGAAGGATGCATGAGGAATCAGGAGGCAGACGGGTCCTTGCCTGCAGCCCCCCAGGCATGTACCACCTGTGGGGAGGAGGGACAGCAGCACGACCTGGTCACCATCACAGAGGTGGACTTCTGATTTGTCAAAAAGAGAGTTTCTCCAGAGGAAGCAATCAGATGTGAAGACAAATTCACCCAGTCCAACACTGATCTATGCAGCCCCTGACCTGTTGCCGAGGTGTTGGGGTACACCAAGAAGGAGCAGCTGGAGAGCCCGTCTAGACAACAGCTGGGCCTCTAATGACAGATATGAGAGACCAGACATGAGGCCTATGAGCATTTGAGCACGCAGTCTCAGCTGCATCTTTCTGGAGTTTAAATTTGAATAAAGGTGCACAGCTAGCATCCATTGACAGACATGGTGTACACACCCCTAAGGTGAGCATCAATGAGTCATGCCCGTGTATAATCCCCTCCCATTGGGTGTGAGTGGAACCTGTGCTTCTAGCCAACAGAATCTGGCAAAGGCGAGACAGGATGTCACACCTGTGACTACATTATGATGTGTATAAGGGTCCATCTTGCTAGCACAGAGAGATTTCCTGCTGGTCTTGGAAAAGCCATATTGTAACTGCCCCTAGAGAGAGCCACATGGCAGGGAACTGTGGGCGGTTTTTAGGACCTGAGCGTGGCCTCCAGCCAACAGTCATTGAGAAGCCAAGAGAACTCAGTCCTAGAACCACAAGGAAATGGATTTGGCCAACAACCACAAGAGCCTGATAGAGGACTCTGAACTCCACAAGGGAATGCAGCCTTGTGAGACCCTGAGCAGAGGATCCAGCTAAGCTGGGCCTGGACTCCTGACCCACAGAAACTGTGAACTAACAATTGTGTGTTGTTTTAAGCTACTAAATTTGTGGTAACTTATCATGAAGCAATAGGAGGTGAATACAACTTTGTTCATTCACAAAGTGAATAGACCATTGACTGCAAGGTCAGATCCCTTCCTAGGGAGTCTTCTTATGGTTATGAAAGAATTGATGCCATAAGAGTCCATGAGAGCAGGTTGGAATGGTTCCACAGAAACCCTGCCGATTAACACCAATCCACCAGCTCCACCAGGGTGTGTGAAGGCCACACAATTCTGGACAGAAAAGATGGCCTCTCTGTCCTCAAACTTGCTATGGCCGTCATCAAAGAAAAGACTGAGGGGGGACTTCCCTAGTGGCACAGTGGTTAAGAATCTGCCTGCCAATGCAGGGGACACGGGTTTGATCCCTGGTCCGGGAAGATCCCACATGCCACGGAGCAACTAAGCCCGTGTGCCACAACTACTGAGCCTGCGCTCTAGAGTCCGTACTGCTCAACAAGAGAAGCCACCGCAATGAGAAGCCCGCGCACCGCAACGAAGAGCAGCCCCTGCTAGCCGCAACTAGAGAAAGCCCGTGTGCAGCAACGAAGACCCAACGCAGCCATAAATAAATTAATTAATTAATTAATAGATTAATTAATTTAAAAAAAGACTGAGGGAAGAGGGGAGGCCTTCAATGTTCCAACAAAGGCCAAGAGGCCACAGGCACAGCTGAGATTGAACTTGGAGGGCAACTGGCGAGGCTTGAAAGATGAAATGCAGAAGTAGAGGGAGATCATGGTGGAGGAGAAGTGAAAACAAACACTGAAGACTGACTTTGTTGGACACGTGGTCTAATTTCAGGAACACAAAGCAGCCCTGATTTCTCTAGATACCCTGGACTTTAATGACTCCCACGATTGAAATTTCAAAGCTGAGTTTTAAAAAGGTACTTAAACCTCCCAACAGACCAGAATGTGAATGCCCTCTTCAAGATCAGCTGCGTTCACACAGTGGCTCCAATTCACTGAGCAGTTAAGGGAGTAACCTAGTTTCACTAAAAACTAAAATATTTAACTGGAAACATCATAAAATCAGGCCTTGGATGTCTCAAGATTGGCACCACCCTGTAGCTCAATGCCTACGTGAGGTTTAACAGGGGCATCCAGAGCACAGAGTCCCGATCTTTCAATGTAAAGTAGTTTATACAAGCCCATCTTAACTCTATTTCTGCAATATTAAAGAAATAATAATTGGTTCAACTTCCAGCTCAAATTGACTAACAAGACACGTGCATTTATTGTCTCTTATGGGTTGGGTTCACCAGAAAGCTGACTCTAAAACAGAGTTAAGCGTGCAGGATGTTTATTAGGGAGTGCCTTTAGGAGAAATACCTGTGGGAAGGGTGGGAAGGGCGTAAGAATGGACAGAAAGAGCAGTCGAGCGGTGCTACAGGCCTTGGCAACCCCACGGGGCAGTCTAGAGCTAGCATAGGCCTTCAGAGTTGTCTCGAGTTAGGCCGAGATGGCCAGGCATTTGTACATCACCTGGATAAGTCACTGAATGTGGCTACCCTTGGAGGGCTGTGATCTTGGGCAAAGTGGCTCTCTGCAGCTGAGGCAAGCCCTGAAGGGGTAGATGGCCCTAAAGGGCTGCCCTCTCAGCCACTGGGGCAAGAAGGCCTTCACTGACAGGGGGCTTAAGTGGCACACCTCTGTGTTCACATCCCTTCTGCCCTTTGAAATCATCATGAAGGAACAAAAATAATATAACCTGACAGCAAGATAGCATGGGAGAAGATGCTCATATTCAATTGTTATTAGGGAACTGTACATCAAAACCACAGTGAAGTAGCACTTTACACCCACTAGACTGATGAATATCAAAAAACTAAAAATAACAAGCATGGGTGAGGATGTAGAGAAATCGGAACCCTTATACCTTTGCTCTTAGGAATGTAAAATGATTCAGTTACTGCGGAAAACAGTTTTCAGTTCCTCAAAAATTAAACATAGAATGACCATTTGACTCAGTGGTTCTACTCTTAGGTAGAAGATTTGAAGACCTAAAAACTGGTACCCAAACAAATATATGTACATGCATGTTCATAGCAGCACGTCACAATAGCCAAGAGTAGAACAAGCTGAAATGTCCATCAACAGATGACTGGATAAATGAATCGTGGTAGATATATACAATGGAATATCACGCAGCCAAATAAAAGGAATGGAGTACTGATGCATGCCACACCATGGATAATGCTACACCATGGATGAATTTGAAAGCATCCTGCTAATTGAAAGAATCCAGACACAAAGGGTCACATATTGTATGATTCCATTTATCTGAAATAGTCACAAGAGATAAATCTGTAGAGACAGAACACTAATTGGTGGCTGCCAGGGGTTGGGGGAGAGGGGATAGGGAGCAACTGCTCAATGTGTGCGGGGTTTCCTTTGGGGATGATAAAAATGTTTTGGAACTAGATAGGGGTGGTGGTTGTACAACACTCTAAATGCCACTGAATTATTTACTTTAAAATGGTTAATTTTACATTATGTGAATTTTATCTCCATTTTTAAAAAGTAAAAAAAAAAAAAAAAAAAAAGGGAGGGGGACCTACAATGGCTTAAAAACTTCCCCAGATTCCTGGAAGCTGCCACAGTGGAGACTGATGAAGTCACAGCCTAGAATACCTACAAAGGGACTTCAGCTAAGGAGGGAAAAAACTTAGCTTAGACAGTCTCCCAATTCTGAGACAGCAGGTATGACAGTAGGCAGAGTAAGACATGGGACTTAACCCAGACAGATTAACTGAAGGTTTCTATATGGCTGTTAACCTCCCCCAGAAGGCCCCAAAGCCAGTCTTTAACACAAGAATGAAAAAAAGAAGGGTTCTTCTCTAAAGAAATTGAATAATTTGTCTGGGGGAGGGCTAGGAAAACTGGAGTCAGTATTGAAACCACCACCACCAAAAAAATGTCTCCATATTATGACATTTTTGAGGACCCCCAACAGAACCATCAGCACACTGCCTCTTCATCTTAAAACAAAGCCTGCAAGTCAATAAGTCCCGCCCATGTACTCAGAGCTGCCAGTCAGCCTCGTTCTTAAGTGTAATCGGACAACAAAAAAGGCCAAGCATTTGAAGGTGGCATACAAGATGACAGAGAAATATCAAGAAAAACAAATAGCAAAGCTGGCCCTAAAGGAAAGAGATGACTAAGGCACCGAAAAGAATAATTTTTAAAGGACAAACAAAAATACCCTTTATTAAGATCATCAGAAAGACTTGAGAAGCGATTGACTATATGAAACAAGAACAGATTGCTATGGAAAAATTCCAACAGAACATTAAAGACCACTTGGAAATTAAAACTATGGTTGTAAAGTTCAACATTCAATAAAAGAATTGAAAAGTCAAGTCGAGAGAAACTTTTAAAATGTTGAACAGAAATATAGCAAAGGACACCACCAAGGGCTGGCAAGAATGTGGAGCGATTCCAACTCTCTCACGTTGCTTGTAGGAGCATTCATTGATACAGCCATTTTGGAAAACTCTGTGGCAGAATTTGCCAAAGCTAAAGTTAAACATGTACCTGCTCCAAGAACTGGCAACTCTACTCCAAGGCATATGCCCAACAGATGTGAGACTTCTAGCCACCAAAAGACATGGACAAGAATGTTCATAGTATTATTCGTAATAGCCCCCAACTGGAAGCAACCCAAAGGTCCTTCAATTGTATCCAATAATTTGGATAGATAAACTGTGATATAATCACAAAATGGAATACAATGCAGCAGTAAAAAGAACAAACTACTGATACATGCAACAACATAGTTAAATTCAAAAAACATAACGTTAATTGCAAGAAGCCAGACATCAAAGAGTACATGGTGTGCAATGACATTTATAGGAAGTTCTAGAACAGCAAAACAGATCTGTGGTGATAAGGTCAGAGTAGTGGTTACCTTTGGGGGAAGGTATGGAACAGGAGTGGGGCATGAGGAAGTCTTCACGGATGCTGGAAATGTTCTAGTATTTTATCTGATTAGTGATTATATGAGTGAGTACATACGAAAACAAATTAAGTTATTACTCAATAACATAGGCAAACAGAATATGAGACAATGAGGAAGACTAACATCTTCCTAAGTTATAGAAATGGAAGAGAAAACACGGAGGGGAGGAAATTAAAGGTATAGTAGAAAAATAACTTTAGCGCTAAAG